TGCTACTAAATACTTTGCTGTAGATACTAAGTTATCCAGGTGTGGTTGAATTGACAACTCAACTGCTAATACTTGAGAATATTCTTTGGCTCCCTTGTGTCGAATCAATAAATTTGAGTTGAATACTCTACCCTCGAAAAATGTTGCGATCCCCTATACTTGTGGGTTATCAAGACTAATTTCTGGCATCGTTGCCGGGGAGCATAGCTCTATTCTTTGATTCACTTGGGATTTATATCCGCTGATCGCTATGAAGAACTTGAAAGACGCAAGAACTAAGATTTTTCCCTCAACTACGAGGGGAGGTAAGGAACTGCCATCTAGCTCTACACTAGATTCTCCTTCCATTTTGAGTAAGCTTGCGACACCTAAACCTGCTACTGCTATGAATTCTGATATGTCGCATGTTATTGATGATGCCACTTCTGCTATGCATGATACTTATGATGAAACTACTTCTATGCTTGATACTACTGTGCCATTAGGTGAATATCTTGATGAACAACTTGCTAGGGTTAGAGAGAATGAAATTATTGAAGATGAAATTATTGATGATAGTGATGATGAAGGTTCTCCCCCTAATTATGAATTGCCTCTTTTCCTGAGGGTTATGTTATGGATGAAGAAACTGCTAGAGATATTTTTGCTTGTAATGATAGATCTGATCTTAAGAAGTTACTAGCTAAACTTAAATAGAAAACTCTGAATGCTAGAATGAAATACGATCCTGCTTTTGCTACTTCACCTATCTTTGTTACTGATAAGGATTATGAATTCTCTGTTGATCCGAAGATAATTACTTTGGTTGAATCTGATCCTTTTTATGGCTATGAATCTGAAACTGGTGGCACATCTTACCAAGTTGAATGATATAGCCACCCTGTTCACTAATGATGAGAAGTCCTGCTATTATTACATCATTAAGATATTTCCATTCTCTTTAAAGGGTGATGCTAAAACTTGGTTTAATTCTCTTGATCCTGGTTGTGTGCGTAGTCTCCAGGATATGATTTATTACTTCTCTACTAAATATTTCCCTACTCATAAGAAACAAGCTGACTTGCGGGAAATATATAATTTTGTGCAAATCGAAGAAGAGAGTCTCCCACAAGCTTGGGGGAGGCTTCTCCGATTACTTAATGCTTTGCCTGATCATCCTCTTAAGAAAAATGAAATACTTGATATCTTTTATAATGGACTAACCGATGCTTCCAAGGACTACTTGGATAGTTGTGCTGGTTGTGTTTTCATGGAAAGAACAGTCGACCAAGCTGAATTACTATTGAATAATATGTTGACTAATGAAAATAATTGGACTCTTCCTGAGCCAATTCCTGAGGCAATTGCTGAGCTAATTGAGCCAACTCCTGAGCCTATTCTCAAACCAACTCCGAAGAAGAGGGGTGTTCTATTTCTTAGTCCTGAAGATATGCAAGAGGCAAAGAAATCAATGAAAGAAAAAGGTATTAAAGCTAAAGATGTTAAGAATTTACCTCCTATTGAAGAAATACATGGTCTTAATATACTGCCTTTTGAAGGAACACATTGTCTTGATAACCCGATACAGGTAGTAAAGGTAAATTCTCTCTATAGATATGATAAAGTTGAAATCCCGTCTACTAAATTCCATAGCCCATGCTTAGATGAATTTGATGAGTTTATGGCTAGATAAGAAAGTTTTAATGCTTATGTTGGTAGAGAGTTAAAGAATAATGCTTTCGAGATAAGATGCTTGAGTGATTATATGGCTAGGGTTAAAGGTGAACTTAAACTTATTAGCAAATATGCTTCTATGGTTACCACTTAAGCTGAGCAAGTACTTAAAGCTCAAAGTGATTTGCTCGATGAATTAAATAGTAAACATGACTTTTCTGTTAGACTGGCTACTAGAACTGGTAGAATGACTTAGTAACCTTTGTATCCTGAAGGCCACCCTAAGAGAATCGAGCAAGATTCTCAGAGAAATAAGTTGGATGTACCTAGTCTATTATATATAAAAAGTACTTGACGGGTTAACCAGAATAAAGATAATTAGCTTAAAAATCCCACAATAATTAGAAACATCCGACCTTTAATTATGTGTACCTATTTCCGATCAATAATGTGCGACTGTTGGATCCATAATAAAAAAAATGTTACAAGCAGGTTAAGATTTCTCGGACGTGAGGCCATAAGAAGTTGGACCTCAGACGTGAGACCATAAGATGTTGGACCCGTACACAAACTCATGATCCCAATAGGCTGGACCATCAACTCAAAAAAAACCCAGGCTGCACCATCCCACGAGCGATCAAACCATCCCATAATAATAAAAAAGGGGCGTACAGGGTAAACAACATGGCCAAACTCTGAAGATCCTGCCCACAAAAAAACAGTACAAAGATGCCATCTCTCCAAACAAATCCAAACTCTCACAAATTTGCTGAGATTCGATCTCTCCAAACATAATATCTCTAAATAAGACCAAAATCTCATGTTCGCATGCATATATAAAATCTCTCGGCATCTGAACAACCTTGTACATCATCTTCCTCCAGCGGGCTCCGTTGAGCAATTAGATCACCTCCAGTATGTACGATATGCATGGAATTATAGATCAGACCTATTAATGGATAATGAGAGGATGTCGCCCACTATGGCCCCCACACAAAATGAAAAACAAATGGAGACCCTCAATTACTCTGAGCTAAACTAAAATCTTATTCTAGCGTGATCCTCTACTATATTTTGGGTTGTGGGATGGCTTCCATAGGCCTCAAATCCATTAAGAAGCACATGACAGTGCAGTATGGTAATCACTTGGAGTTTGTAGATTAGATAATGGTTCACATAATACTTTGCATGAGTACCTCGGTAATTTTGTCTAATAAAGTACCTCATTAATCAGGTAGAGATTGCTTCGGTCGGCTTCTACTAAAAAATACTCACGATATTTGTGTATTCACGTGATGATTGAAACTTAAGTTCCTCTTTATCATTAAGGATTTCTGCAAATCATTGGTCTCGAAAATTGATCTCCTTTACTTGTACGATCAAAAAAAATATTTATATGGTTAAAAGTAATAAAAATAATGAATATTCATAAACTTGAGTATTAATCTGTAATAGTCGCACACCCACGATCAAGCGGGGCAGCTGGTCTCAAGCGGCCGAGAAGGGTACTCGCCTGTCCAATGACCAGCGGGAGGATCGCCATGATATTTATCGTCGTCCATCGCCACGGCAAAGAACGATCTCTAGGTCCACCACTGTCTGTAATAATATTATAATATCATCCACTTTATCATTATTTGATTTTCAAGAAAACGCAAAAGAGCTTGCGTTTCATTGGATTGAAAAGAGAGCTTTAGCTTTATATTTGCACTCTCTAATGTGTAGGAATCAGCAATGAAAAGAAAAGATGGACCAGATAACAAGGAACTTTAGAAACCTGCCAAGATGGTTAAAACAAAACATATATGTAATCCAACAAGGTGATCTGTTACTAATGATGAATATTTTGTGTGTGCTATCACAACAAATTTAAAACAAAAAATGCAACAGTTCTAGTTAGGCATTGGAGGTTCCTAATTGATTTTAGATTTAACGATAAAACTTATTTCAAATTGTTATCTTATTGATGCAAGTCGAGACAATCAACAAAAATGGCAAGATTGGAAGGAGAATGAAACTTCAAGACAAGAAAAAGAGACAACCTCCAATCATAAATGGAGATGTGCCAGACTTCACGGCTACACAAAAAGGAGAACCTTTGATCCATGCGAAGTAAGAAAATTTCCACAAAGTTTCACCCTTATGCAGGTTATCATCCATTTGATTTAATTACAGTTCTCAGTTCAATTTCTAAATTTTAACAATGCACAACTGGTATTACAGTATATAGGAAGCAACATTATGTACCTTGTTTATGCTTTGCACACCAGTTTTGCTATCTATGTGCTCAAATCTTTCAAAGCATGAAAACTTACCTTCATTAACTCGGTGGTTTTGTTGTAGTAAAGTTATATCTCACACATTTTACCGTAAAACAAGTGGTTATAAAGTTCGGACGCCCATGCATTTCCATATCTTTGAGTGCGGCTATTTTTAATTGCTCTATGAAATCACAAAAACACGTTTCATTTCGTTCTATCTATAGGTAAGTATAACACGTATGGATGCACTGCGGCTAAAGCAAAAAATATTGTTCCATTCCCACAAGGAGAAATAAAGTGCTGCTGCCAGAGATGAAAAAATATCTTTCTTCTACGAATTAGGATTTTTTTTAGGAAATACTAATTAGGATTTATGTTTATGTAGGGCAAGTAACTCATGTTGGAAACCTGCTGACGGTCCACCTGACAGGCCACCACGCACGGGAGGCAAACCTCCAGGACCGAGTCTCTCGCGACTCTCCAGCGCACGAATGTCATCATCTCCACGTTCGGCATGATTAGTACTTATCCGAATTCTGTTGTAACAACCTGTACAGCCTGTATATAAAGGGAGTACCTAGAACTCATCTAGATGAGATATAATTTGGTTTCATTCACTTTGAAAGCAAGAATAGATATAACCCACGTCAGCACACACGCATCTTATAGCATGACATCCAATGGCTATAAAAGATGAATGAGACCAAATTATATCTCATCTAGATGAGTTCTAGCAAAACTGGTATATAAACGCTTGTTGTACCTGAGACTGAATATAGTGAGAATTCTCCTGTCCAACTTGGTATCAGACGCTCTCGATCCTCTCGCTTCCGCCTTCGCCATGAGCGTCCGCCGCCCTCTCCGGCGCACCCGCTCCTTTGGGGACGCCGACGCCGTCTTCGACCTGCCCTGTGTCGCCCCCGAGCCTGCGCCTGCCCCCGCACCGCCCCTACTGCTCCGGTGCCCATCCGCGCCCCGATCCTCCGCGCGCGCGCTCCGGCGCCCCTGCGCGCCCCAGCTGCTCCCGGCCGTGCGCTCGCCCTGGCAGCGCCGGCCGCCCAGGTCCCCGTCGCTCCTCCTCCATCCATGCATCACATTAATATCTCATCCTTCATCCCCTTCAAGCTCAGCCTGGACGCCAACAATTACACGAAGTGGCGCCAGCTCTTCGCCTTTGTACTGACCAAGTACCAAGTCGAGGATCACGTCGAGGAAGCCGTTGACCCCCTGCATGCCGACGCCATCTGGAGGAACGATGACATTACCATCGTCCTCTGGATCTACGCCACGATCTCCGATGAACTCTACGACGTGGTCCAGTCACCGAACAACACCGCGTACCAGCTCTGGCGCGAGCTGGAGGTCTTCTTCCGCGACAGCGCCGCCGGCCGCGCCGTCCACATCGGGGCTGAGTTCCAGGCTACGGTACAGGGCGACCTGAGCATCGCCCAGTACTGTCGTCGCCTGAAGCAGCTCTCCGACGCCATGGCCGACGTGGGCGAGCCCGTCACCGACCGCTCCCTCACGTTGCAGCTCGTGCGGGGCCTCAGCCGCCGCTTCCACGTCATGGCGACCTTGCTCCCCATGCAGGTGCCGTTCCCCACGTTCAACCAGGCCCGCTCCCGTCTCCTGCTGGAGGAGATCTCGCTGGGTGAGCGGGAACGCACCGAGGGGGCCGCGGCTCTCTCCATCGGGCACGGCGGCGGCTCGTCGTCCGGCAACTCCGAGCGCGGTGGTGACCGCGGTGAGCGACAGCCTCCTCCGTCCCCGAGTGACAAGGGCAAAGGGCCGGCCACTCCACCCTCTGGCGACCACCAGCGTGGCGGGCGCGGCCGCGGGCGCGGTCGTGGGCACGGCTCCAACACCTCCTCGCCTGCTCCACTCGGGCGCGGCCAACAGCCGTGGCTCGGGTACTTCGCGCCGTGGGGCTCCCCGGCGCCCTCCCCGCAGCAGTGGCGGGCGCCCTGGACGCCGCCCAACTCCGCCGGGGTCCTCGGCCCACGCCCCGGAGCTCCGCACCAGGCCTACCCCGTCGGCATGCCCTCCTCGTCGTCCACGCCTCCATGGAAGCAGCAGCAGGCCCTGATGGCCCAGGCCTTCGCCAACATGAACATGCAGCAGCCTCCGGCCACCCACGAGTGGTTCATGGACACAGGAGCTACATCCCACGTCGCCGGGTCCAGTGGTAACCTCACCAAGCTTCTTCCTCCTTCTATGCATACTCCCTCTACCATTACAGTAGGCGACGGTTCTGTTATTCCCGTAGTAGCCATCGGCTCTTCTAAACTCCCTCCCTACCCCTTCCAACTTAACCACGTCTTGATTTCTCCACGCATTGTCAAAAATCTCATTTCTGTGCGTCGTTTTACTCGCGATAATTGGTGTATTCTCTCTTTTGACCCGTTCGGTTTCACTGTGAAGGACATGGCAACGGGGAGAATTCTGATGCGGTCCAGTAGCTCCGGCGACCTCTACCCGTTTTTCTGATCCAATAAAGACGGCGGCGTGGCCTTCACCATCTCCGGAGCAGGCGACTTGTGGCACTTGCGGCTAGGCCACCCCAGTTCTACCTCTGTTTCCATTTTAGCAAACAATTTCCTTGATTCCTGTAATAAGAGAAATGATTCTCGTGTGTGTGAATCTTGCAAGTTAGGCAAGCAACCTTGTTTACCATTTCCACAATCTTTTTCATATACTACTGCTCCTTTCCAATTAATCCACTGTGATCTCTGGACGTCTCCTGTTTGCAGTTTTTCTGGGTACCAATATTACCTCGTTGTATTAGATGATTTTTCCCATTATTCTTGGGTCTTTCCCTTGCGCCACAAGTCTGACACCGCTGCTGTCTTACAACGTTTCTTCTCTCACGTCCTCACACAATATCATGTTGTTATTCGGTGTTTGCAGTGCGACAATGGAGGGGAGTTCCTCTCTCACTCTCTTCGTGACTATCTCTCCCGCTCTGGCATCGTCTACCGCCTCTCTTGCCCGCACACTTCCGCGCAAAACGGGAAAGCAGAGCGCCTCCTACGCACCACCAATGACGTTCTACGAACCCTACTCATCCACGCCCAGATGCCTCCCGAATATTGGGTCGAGGCCCTCCATGCCGCCAATCATCTAATCAACCGGCGCCCCTCCTCGGCGGTACACAACCTCACTCCTTTCTACCTTCTCAACGGTAGCCACCCATCCTATGATCACATGAGGGTGTTTGGGTGTCTCTGTTTTCCCAATCTCACTCATCTTGCACCGCACAAGCTCGCTCCCCGATCCACTCCGTGTGTGTTCCTCGGGTATCCACTTGAGCATAAGGGCTACCGATGCCTCGACCTACGCACGCGTAAAGTTCACATCTCCCGGAGCGTTGTTTTTGACGAACAAACCTTCCCGTTTTCCTCGCTGAACGCACAGATGGCCACACCACCACCTCCCACACCGGATCCCCCTCTTTTTTCTGGCATCCCGATCCTACCTACCTCGTACGACAGGCCCGCGTCCTTTCCCCGCCCGGCGTTCGCTCCGCAGTCAGCGCACCTGCCCGCCTCACCCGCAGCGCCCAATCCCACCCGCCCGCCACCTCCGCGCGAGCCAACCACGCCTCCCGGCATCCCACCTGCTGACCCCACCCACGCCAGGCCGCCCACCACTCCTGCGTCCGACCGCCATGCAACACATGCATCCCCTTCCAGCCATGCAGCCAATCCCGAGCCGGCGTCCCATGCAACGTCGTCTGCCGCTCCTCGCCCGCTACCGCCCCGCGCCATTCCAGTAGCGCCACCAGACAACCACCACCGCATGCACACCCGCTCCAAGTCTGGCTTTGCCCAACCCAAGTCCCAGTTCAACCTCTCTGTCACCGCTCCTACTGCCATCAGCCACATTCCCTCCTCTTACCGCGTGGCTCTTAAGGATCCGAACTGGTCTAATGCAATGTTAGAGGAGTTTAATGCATTGTTGCGGAATGACACTTGGTCGTTGGTTTCACGTCCTGCAGGTGAGAATGTGGTCTCCGGCAAGTGGATCTTTCGCCACAAGTTCACCCCCGACGGGACGCTCGCGCGGTACAAGGCTCGGTGGGTTCTTTGCGGCTTCACATAGCAGGCCGGTGTCGACTACGGCGAGACTTTTAGTCCCGTGGTTAAACCGGCCACCATTCGGGTCGTCCTCGGCATCGCCACCAGCTCCTCGTGGCCCGTCCACCAGCTCGACGTCAAGAACGCCTTCTTGCACGGGCACCTCGCCGAGACGGTGTACAGTGCGCAGCCCGCCGGCTTCGTCGACTCCTCGCGGCCGCGAGACGTGTGTCGTCTCAACCGTTCGCTATATGGGCTTAAGCAGGCGCCGCACGCTTGGTTCTCCCGGTTCACCAGCTACCTCGTCACCCTCGGGTTCCGTGCTTCCAAGGCCGACTCCTCTCTGTTCACTTTGCATCATGGGCATGACACGACGTATCTCCTTTTGTACGTTGATGACATTATCCTCACCGCCAGTTCCACGCCCTTCCTCCAGTCCATTGTCGGCTCTCTTCATCGCGAGTTTGCCATGACTGATCTGGGCCCTCTTCACCACTTCCTCGGCATCAACGTTCACCGCAACTCCACCGGCATCCACCTTTCTCAGGAACAGTATGCCCTTGAGGTCTTGGATCGCGCCGGCATGCTCAATTGCAAACCGGTCTCAACCCCCGTCGACACCACCAGCAAACCATCCGCCACGGACGGGGCGCTCTTCCACGACCCCTCTCTCTACAGGAGCTTGGCCAGCGCCTTACAATACTTGACTTTGACGCGCCCCGATATTTCCTATGTTGTCCAACAATGTTGCTTGTTCATGCATGCTCCCAGGGATGCTCACTATCAGTTGGCGAAACGTGTCCTCCGCTATGTGCGCGGTACGACGCGTCTCGGGCTCCAGTTCTACCGCGACTCCGGCAACGATCTCACCGTGTACACCGATGCGGATTGGGCAGGGTGCCCTGACACCCGCAAATCCACGTCGGGGTTTGCCGTGTACCTCGGCTCCAACCTCATCAGCTGGTCTTCGAAGCGGCAGAACATGGTCTCACGCTCGAGCGTTGAGGCCGAGTACAAGGGCATCGCCAACGCGGTGGCCAAGGCGGTCTGGCTTCGTCAACTCCTCACCGAGCTCCGCCGCCCTCCGCAGTGTGCCACCGTCGTCTACTGCGACAATGTCAGCGCCATGTACATGTCGAGCAACCCCGTACAGCATCAACGTACTAAGCACGTGGAGATCGACCTTCACTTTGTTCGTGAGCGCGTCTCCCTGGGCGAAGTTCGTGTGCTGCATGTGCCTACCACATCCCAGTACGCTGATGTGTTCACGAAGGGCCTCCCCACGAGCATCTTCACAGCTTTCCGATCCAGCCTCAACGTCCGCGAGCACCCTGTTGCGGCTGCGGGGGGGGGGGGGTGTTGGAAACCTGCTGACGGTCCACCTGACAGGCCACCACGCACGGGAGGCAAACCTCCAGGACCGAGTCTCTCGCGACTCTCCAGCGCACGAACGCCATCATCTCCACGTTCGGCATGATTAGCACTTATCCGAATTCTGTTGTAACAACCTGTACAGCGTGTATATAAATGCTTGTTGTACCTGAGACTGAATATAGTGAGAATTCTCCTGTCCAACTACTCAAAAATAGGGGGAAATATGAGAGAGTTGGGAAACGAAAAATGGGGACCTGCAGGTCAAACTTCGAAGAATGTTGTCGCTGTGGAGGATGAGGACCGTGTCCCGAGCTGCCTCGAGTGATAAAGAGCGACAACGCTCTAGCTTGCGCGCTTGGGGAAGAGAACCTCGCCGCCATCCTCACACCCAAGCTGGATCTACGAGGGATGCGGCCTGCGGGAGATGAAATCCACGACCAAATCAACTACACGGACACTAATTACAACGGGTCAATGGCACTATGCAGATCGATGATCTCGCCTCCTCCATCGTAGTTTACCTGCAAAGAGCTAGGAGAATGAGGAGGTGTATGAGGAGCCAAACCAGCTGATGTCCCTGTGGCAGCACCAGCTGCTGAGTGGCTTGAGGTGAGGATGAGGAACCTCAAGGCAGTGAACAAGAGAGCAAGCTGATGGGAGGAGCAGCAATTTTTGAGTGAGCAGAGAGAATAAGGAAAGTAGAATGGGGATCGGGCAAGAGGAACATTGTCACTGTGTGAAAATATGAGTGGGGGGGGGGGGAGAGAGAACGGAGAAGTCCAGGAGACTACAGAATTGGGAAAGTGAACAATTATACTGGTGGGGCCCATGAAACCGATTACGTTCTGTACATTGTGAGAGCAAACTATGTGATGTGAAAATATAAGCCACCATTGATACTACCGAGGGCACATCTCTTAACTAAATCAAATGATCATGATAGCACATACTTACCAACATACTCCCTCCGTTTCTAGATCCTCCGTTTCTAAATATAGGTCTTTCTAGGTCAATAGATGACTACATACAGAGCAAAATAGGTGAATTTAGACTCTACAATATGTCTATATACATCCATATGTGGTAGTTTATTTGAAATCTCTAAAAGACTTATATTTACAAACGGAGGGAGTAGGTTTTATGGATTTGTACAATATATAAGCATAGAATAAAAATATACTCCCTCTGTTCCTAAATATTTGTCTTTTTAGAGATTTCAACAAGTGACTATATACAGAGTAAAATGAGTGAATCTACACTTTAAAGAATGTCTATATACATGCGATGTGGTACTTCATGAGGAAGTAGAAGAAAGATGTAAATATAGTTTGGAGAATGTAATCGATCATTTCATTTAGCATACCTCGCAAAAAAAATACAGCTAGCATGACATGCATAATTAGCAAGTCAGGATGAAGCGATCACACATACATGTATATATCAACGAAAACCCAAACGTACAAACAAAATTATGTTTGCAAGAGTACTATATTTGAAATTTCATCATATTTGATATAAAAAATTGTTGGACAGATAAAATAATATGATCTCACATTTATAACTTACAAAATCCTAGCCCGCGCATCGAGCGGGCCACTTTGCTAGTTCTTCTAAAAAGAAGAAAAAAAATGATAGGACTTTGCATGCTTCTAGTGAACCTGTTGTAGACATACGTGACAATCCTAATGATATTTCTATTTCTGATGCTGAAACACAATCAGGTGATGAACATGAACCTAGTGATAATGTTCATGTTGATGCTCAACCTAGCAATAATAATGATGTAGAGATAGAACCTACTGTTGATCTTGATAATCCACAATCAAAGAATCAACGTTATAATAAGAAAAAATTTGTTGCTAGGAAGCATGGTAGAGAAAGAGAACCATGGGTTCAGAAACCCATGCCTTTTCCTCCTAAACCATCCAAGACAAAGGATGATGAGAATTTTGAGCGCTTTGCTGAAATGATTAGACCTATCTTCTTACGTATGCGCTTAACTGATATGC